TTTTGCTGGACTAGTGTAGAATATTCAAAAAATGACTTACAAAAATACTGTTTCCATGGAACCGCTTTTTCAAATTGTCAGCAATGGATTGTTCTGAGAGTTTGCTGAGTAGCACCATGTCGTCCACACCGACATGATGAACGTTGACATTTGACTGCCAGTGAAATGCCTAAAATCGTAGTGATATTGATTCTCAATATATGCAATTTACAGATTCCCTTGATAGCGATGCGAGGGGAGTGGCATCCGGGGTGGGCGTGGCTTGCGAGCCGTGACAAATTTCTGAGCACTTCTAACTTCACTCGATGACTTTCCGAAACTAAAATCACGAAGTCAAATCCTCATGGAATCGCTGAACTAATCAGTGACGGTATTTCTCATGAAGTGGTTTTTCTAGTGAAGTCGGTCTAATCCTTCATCGTTACCACCACTTGAATATTTATTTTGTACATTTTCTGCGGATGCGCAGGATACGTGAGGCTGTAGTGACAACTCTGGAGATGATTGAGACTCTAATGACCCAGTTCTTGTTTCCGTTCTTCACCGGAGTTCTGGTGGAACCATCTTCAATAATCCCCTATGAAAACAAGGCTGAGAGAACGGACGATTCGCATTTGGCTGTCACCCCTAAAGAGAACGTGATGTAGAACAGAATCGCACCGTTCACCCCTCACATGGTCCGCAGGTGACATCTAAAGCCGTTTCCCTGCTGAAACCTTCCATAGTTCCACAGTCGACTATTGGTACCAGCTCCGTCAGCTTGACTGGGAAGCAGAGTCAACTGTGTGTTGCACAACGTGCTCATTACCGAAGGGGAGAGGGTGTAATATGGGTTGGTTAACGTCAAAAAGTTGGAAAAAAGAGCTCCAATTGTTCTTAAGCGGAATGAAAGGTGGTAGGGTCATTTTTGCAGGGGTTTTTGATAATTTTTGCGGAGATTCGAAAAGTAAGCACGACGTTGACGAAACGAGAACACATGAAATTTCAGATTCAGTTGCTCACCTCCTTCCCCTCCTCTCGAGGGTCGTTTTAGAGGGGTGGGTGGAGTTGGGTAGTGTGATGGTACCCGAATCAAAACTATTGAAAGTCATGATGGCGAGGGTGGCAGCCGAGGGAGGTCGTATTGGGGGGAGGGGAGGGGTTACATTGAGATTCGCTAAAGGAGAGCGGTCGTAAATTTTCGGAACTGGAACAGCGGACGGTTGACCCTACTGGGAATTCGAAGGCGCTGACGTGCTTATTGGCCACCCCAGTCAACTCATTGTACGAGCCGATTGGAATTCGAATGCTTTCACGATTATAAACTAGAACTCAGAATGCGTCCGTGCTACCCAAAGTTTACCATTATGATACCATTATGAGTATTACCATTATGCTCAAATCTTCATGGCCAACTTCGAAGAATGTTCTCAAAGAATAGAGCGAGTAGAATACCCTCGAAAGAAAGCCGGAAGACTGTTCTCGAAACTAAGAAAAACGAGGTTGCCAAAATGGCTATTACAAGGGAGAAAACTGGAGCGAAACTTTGTCAAACACGAAATTGAAATCGCCTCGTCTTATTCAAGCAACCTATTATGATTGTGATTTTTCTGGAAAAATTGCAACCGATTATTAACTGTAACTTAACCAAATTATGAGCATCCAACTCCATCAACAGTGTTCGTTTTTAACGGGATTATGTGAAGCAGCCCCTCCCCGCTCTGACAATGAGATGCGCCCTATGGAAATGATTTTGCTTTTCAATAATTCCTGTCAGATGGAATCCTACATGAGTAGTCATACCAGACAAGTGGAATACCACTTGGCCTACTATGATGGAAAGTTTGCTTGGCCTTGAACCGGACCGTAAGAGTGACAGCGCCGCCTCTTGCCACTGCATCAGCCTCCTCTTTTCAATATCTTATTATACCTGATTCGGCTGATTTACTAACCCCAGACGTTTCCTCTTGACTCACCATCTTGGAATACAGAGGATTTTTGTATCAAAACGCGGGGAGAAGTCTTCTAAGAATAAATGGTTATTTTTGAATCGCTAGGAGCCACGCATCTGACACCTATTCAGAATAAAGATGCCATTTGAAAGCTTACCTGGTCAATGGAATGAATCGCAAAGACCTGGCCAAGCCCAGTGTTTTTAATGTTTTCCAGTATATTCAGGCATGAATCAAATCTTGTACCAAGTAACCGACACCATAGGGAGAAAAGGATCCGTTAGCATGAGTAGTGAGTAATTCAAACCAGGGTCGAACTGTGACATTACAGATTTTAAATTATCACGACCTTCCCCTTTTAGCAGGACCCCAACATGACACCCTCCACTACCAGCAGCCTTGATGGAGCCACCAACATGAGCCCCACACCGCCCCGCGGCCACCCCCAACACCATGCTTGAGTCTAAGGTGTTCACTTTCCAAGTTCAGTAGACACACTTCAACTCCATTCGTCGGAAACGACCTACTATCCCCCTACCCTTCTCCGCAACAACCGACCCTCCAACTTTCACCACTACAACCCTTTCCCGAAAATCTCAAATACCATCCCTTGTCACCATCGCGATTTACACAAAACCCCTGAATTCCAAATACGACTCCCCACGCTTTTGGGATTTGGGCTTTGCTGAACGCAGGCCCGATCCTTTGCATCCCCCTTTCCCCTAAGCCATTGGTGATATCTTCGTGTCGCAGCTCGCTAGCAATAAGAGAACTAAAAACTTCAACACCAACGAGCATAAGTGTTGAGGTGAACAAATTCAAAGTTCATAATGATAAGTAATACGAGCTGTTGAGTGCAAAAAAAGCAGTAACAGTGATAAAAATGATAACTGAATAAGATTATCAGAACCTACCATTATTCATCTGATGGTCCCTGGATCGACGAGGGCACGCAAATTCGCCGACGCCAAGCGATAGGCGAGCGGTTAGTGAGTACTGGAAAACTTCTTATTAAAAAATCATATAGCCAACGAAAATACATTCGATAAGGACGAGCGTTATTCACAACGACGAGAAAAGTGACACCAACAGCAACGAGGACAAGTGAAGTTTCAGTGAGCGAAGATTTTCTGAAAGTGCAAGCAGCAATCCTGCCGTGTCGTGGGAATACGGCTCCCACCATTTGACACCGACTGACACAAGCCGTGTTTCTCCCATGGGTTGAGATGTCTCCAACGATACGGCGACCCTTTCACTGTACATTACAATTTGAAGACCCTACCAATAGGCCAGTGAGGAAAGCTCAATTAGAAAGCTTCAGATGAATCTGCCAGATTGTATCGACAATCGGGCACGCAGAATGAGAAACGAGGACGCTAATGAAATCACAAAAGCTGTCGATAAGCGAGGGAAAGCGCCCTAACGATCAGAACATGAGTCATTACTGAATGGCAGGGACAGGCTGTAGATTCATTTACATATCTCCGGCTCGCTGATTCGGACGAATAAGGTCATTTAGGGACAAAGTGAGTGACATTTGCAGTAAGGATGTCAGTTCTTCACCAACTAGGATAATAGTTGCTCTTACGAGCTTTTTCAAAGTGACATTTTTCACAAATAATTGCCAAAAGTGAGTTCGAGATTCATTTGTGAAGAAAGCCACTTTTCTCAAGTCTCGAAAAATATTTTAGGCACTCAAGGGTAAGGGGGGATACCAGCCACTCATAGAACTTAGAACTGAGCCTAAGAGAAGGGTAGCGATTCCGGGAGAGAAAGTGAGCCATCTTTGCTCGTTGTGGAGTTTTTCCTGTCCTAGGCATAGTCCTAGTATTACCAAGCAGCGGTTCTTGAATGCCCTGTTTTGATGCACCACCCCCCCCCCCATGAGCGCCACCTTTTTCGCAGTATTAGGGTTTCATGGAGGTTCCTAATGATAATGATAAGTAACATTTCGAATGTTCCGAACGCTTTCAAAACTTTGAAAACGGTGGGTTGGTCGAAACGTCGGACTAAATGAATAGTCCACCAAACAAAAATTGTTTGGCACTATGACTAACTACTTAAAAGTGATTTTTCTATATACAAAACCTCGTCTCAGGGACCTAAGAAGGTGCCGGAGGATAAACCTGGGCTCAAATCCTAGATGCAATTCGAAGTTTTCAAGAATCCTGAATTGAGTTCGAGATCACGATAAGGCCCTAATGAATGCGATCCGACCCTTCTCATTATCATTGTAACTCGTTCATTGAAATGGGTCAAGTAGGGGAAGGTTCAAGGTGAACATCCCGGTATCCTCGAAATCCCGACCAAAGTGCGGACCTCTTCAAGGTGGCTAAGGAAAGCGCATTCTGTTCGGAGCCTTAAATTACCTCCCATTAGATTATCCTCTGATTAGGCTCGAATGAATGCTCACGCGGGCAAAGTCGGTGTATTGACAGGCGGCGCTAATTGACGCTCATGCATGGGAATCATGTCCCGGATGGAATCTCGCCCAGGTCGACCAATCATTCCATTTCTGTGCAGGCACTTAACTGGGACCGGGTTTCTCTGGGAGAATAAAACACGATTTTCTTCATTAGCTAGCCCCGCCATTCATTCTGCAGCCTACCACGCATTCAAGTAACAGAAGATTTCCGAATAAAAGCAAATATTTAGAATGCAATTTGCATCCCAGGAGATTGATTAGGGCCAAATGCCCCATTCAACCTCAAAGGATCTGTGGACGTCGAGAGATGATCTAACAGAATGCCTCACTCAATAGTTAGCATCCTAGTACCTGCAAACAGTCAGACATTTGACAGGTGTTATGTGAGCGCTCATATAAATAAATGCAAGTATAAGGGGCGGAAGTGTGTAGTGACAAGTGGCGCGCTTACCACGCGAGCGGTCCGGGATCAAATCCTGGGTCGTGAGTCGCCCGGGCCAACCAAGCCTTCCATCCCTCCGGGGTCGGTTAATTGGTACCAGACTTGTCTGGGAGGATAAAAAACACTGACTTGTACATCGGCTGGCCCCCGCAAGTCATTGTATAGGCCACATCGCATTCAAACGCCACTGCGAATGTACAAATGGAAGTAGAATGCGTGCCGCATCCCAAAAAGGGATTGATCAACGGCAAATGCTTTATCCTTTATCCTTTATCGAAAGTGAGAAC